CTTGCCATCTCAGGGCCCTGCCTCCCTCTGTGATGGAGGCCCCCTCCTCAGCTGAGGTCAGTGCAAAGATTTCACTCCTCTGTCTGCACTTCTGCCTGCTGGGGCATTTTAGGCCCAGGGCCTCCTGGGCTGGTCCAATGCTCTATTCTTCCATACAGCCTGAGAGAGAGGTTCTCAGTGGGTCAGGAGAGATGAGCTGTGGTCCCACCTTCTCAAAGGAAGTCCCTCCAGGGAGCAGACCCTGCTTCTTGGAGATCCTTAGTGAGTTTGTGGGTGTGCTGGCTCTGATGCTTTTGAACTGGGTGCCCCAGGGACAGAGACACCCCCAAAGGGAACCGATCTAGCTCCCCCTCCCCCAGCCCTCTTTAGACCAACTTTTCCCACATGGCCCTGGCAGGTGTGGAGCCGAGAGCCCCAGGCTTCTGGGAATTTATGTGATTTTGGCACAAACTGTTGTCTTCTTGACCCCTCCGCCTGCCACTCAGCTTGGTTTATGCCTGTGACCTCCTTCAGGATGGTCTCCTGAAGCTGGCAAGGCTTGTCCCCCCCCCTGAAATCCCTGGGGACCTAACCGGGCCCACTTGCTGCTGAGCCTCTGGTGAGGTGTTGGTCTCTGCACCTCCTCTCCCTGGCCCAGGCCTGCATCCACTGTGGGGGGCTGCCTGGGGATGCCTCTGAGCCCCATGGGCTATCACTGAGGCTGGGTCCAGCTCTTTTTGCCTGGGCTCTCTGTCGGGGCCAGGTGCCCCAGAGGTCTGTGCACACAGCAGGCAGCTGTCTCAGCTCAGTGTTGCTTCTGCTCAATGTCTACCTCGCTCAGCTCCCGTGCAGCCAACAGCCTCCCTGAAGGCTGTTGCTGGTAGAAGCAGCTGGGCGCCCTGTGGGGCTGGAGGGGACTGGGCTCCCAGACCCCAGCACTGCTCCCACCACTAGAAATGTGTCTTCTTCAGTCTGCCAGCTCCTGTCCCGTTGGCCCAAGCTGGCTGCTGGCTCTTCTGTTCCACTTTGAGCACTGCCTCTTGCATTCAAGCCTGAGCAGCTTCAGGGCCTGTTGGGGTGTGGTCGGGCTAGCCTACTCCCTCCTCCCTGGTCCTGCCTCCTGGTGGTTCACTTGTCAGCCTCCTGCTCCTTTAACATCTCATCCCCTGGGCTCCCTATAAAGACAGAGCCACCTCAATCCCAATCCTCCCCTGAAAATACCCTGACTCTCCAAAAGTCCCATATCCCTTTTGCAGAAGCCTCGGGTGTATTTAATGCTCTCAGATGATCACATCATTGGTGTGACTTTGCCCCCAGCTACGCTCCCTCTCCCTCTTCCTTTTCAGCAGATCCCAGGGGAGGAGCAAGAGGCAGTGCTGGTTCTTGGGGAGGCAGTGAGCAGGGCTCTGTGGTTCCAGGGTCACAGCAGGAGGACCACCACCTCTTCCTTTCTGGAGTCCCCCACTGGGACCTGGGAAGCACACCTGAGTGCTGCTGGTGTCCAGTGGGCTCTTGTGAACACACCCCCTCAGAGCAGTAGGTGGTGTGTGGACGTGTGTATGTGCATTTCTGTACAGTATAGACTCAGACTACTTACGTTCAGTATAGCTTTCACGGTAACCAATACGCACTTTCTACCCTAGCGGTTTGTTCAACTTTGTCATTCAGTTCAAGTCGGAGAGAAAAAGAACCCAGTCACTGTGTGTGTTCTCCGGAGGGGGAGTGGTACGCAGCCTCACCCTGAGTAGTTCTGTGAACCCCAACCTGACTGTTTTTTTTTAGAGAATCTTCCAGCTCCTGGTGTGCCTGCTCCCAGAGGCTGGAAAACAGCTCTTCCTGCCTGACCAAAGCTCCTCGTTTCTTGTGTGGCATGTTTGTACTTTGGGCCCTGTGGGCTGTCCCGACCCGGGGACTGCCTGCTGCCCCTCTCACCGTTTACCCTGTTGGGGGTTCCGAGTGTGCCCTCATTCAGGGCCTGTTCTTCCAGTATCGTTTTTGTTCTAAAGATCTCAACTCCTTCCTTAGACTCTACCAGTTAGTTATATTTGAATTGTATTGGGATGGATCCCTTTTCCCTTCCCTGCCCTCCCGTCTGGGTGCTGGGCCACTGAAAACAGACCTATTGAGCCTCAGTGGTCCAGAGAAAAGGAGCCCTGATGGCACTCAGCTGATTGCAAGGTTGGTGGTTTGAACCCACACAGGGATTCCACAGGAGAAAGCCTGGTGACTGGCTCCTGTAGATACTATGGCCAAGAAAACCCTGTAGGGCACCTATGCTCTGTCCACGGGGTCACTCTGACTCTGAATGCGGAGATGACTGTGGGATTGAAAGGGAGGGGGGCTGGCATGGTGGTTTTTAAATGGTTCTTTGCCCAGCTGGAGCCTGTGCCTGCCCGTGAAGGGTCCCACAGACAAAAAGATACACCAATCTTTAAATAATCCCATGCTCCCGGCAGGTAGCAACCGGGTGGTGATGGCACAGGCTCAGCATCCACTCTCCCACCTAGCCCAGGTGCTGCCCTGCCCAGGAGGGGCGGCCCTGGCAGTGGAGCCGGCTGGGCCTCTGCAGCTGCCCCCTGCCTTAAACAACCAACCTTCCCACTGAACCCCAGGGAGGGGTTTGGGTGCCAAGTGCTTTGGAAACCTCCTCTCTTTGGCTCAGCCAAAGGCAACATTCTTTTCTTCCTTTTCTTGGCACACCTTTCTTAAAAAGAAATAAATAAAATTTCAGAGCTAGGGTTAAGTACAAGCAGTGAGGCCTCATGTGAGTTCTGCTCCCCTTGCTGAGAAACAAGGTCCCCGGGCAGCACAAACGGTTCACTTGACTACTCATTTATAAGCTGGTGGTTCACACCGACCCCGAAGCACCTCAGAAGAAAGTCCTGGCAACCTGCTTCTGTAATTACAGTCTAGAAAACCCTGTGGAGCAGTTTTCTTTTATAAGCGTGGGGTCAGTGAGAGTTGGCATCAACTCCATGGCAGTGGGTTTAGTTTTGCCAAGAAACCACAATACAGGCAGTTCGAGTGGTAGCATAACCCACAGGGAGTCGTGCTCACTCAAAGGCTGTCTCTCTCTCTCTCTGGTGGGATTCCCCCAGCGGCTCCAGGGGAGGGTGATGGGCAGCCCCTGTGCAATGTACAGCTTCAGAGACCCAAGAGACGGTTCCGACTCATCCAGGGAGTTGAAGAAATCGACAAAGTATTTGAAAGCCAGGTTTTGACTTTCTCTTCTTTGGGATAACAGGAGGCAGGCGACACCCCGGAGGGGTGGCTTAGACGAGAAAGCCCTGCTTATGGGGACCCTCACCCTCAGATCCTCCTATCCTCTCTTCGTTGAATTGGTGGTAGCAGGCAGTCTGACTTGTTCGTGGTCTCACTTCCTGTGTGTGCGGCTTCAGTACTGTCTGTGGTGGGATATGGTTCTGTGGTGAAGAGGTTTCTGTTCCTTTGGCTGCCTTGTACAAAATCCGTTAGAAAAGAACATGTAAAATACCAGATTTCTAACAAGACCAAAAAAAAAGTACTATGGAGTTTTTACAACTGGTCTTGCTTTTGATGTGAGCTGGTTTTTAACTCTCAAATATTGTCACTTAAATAAAAACCTTACTTGCCTTTAAAATATACCTGGCTCCAAACAAGAGTAGAAAGACCGTTCTAGTTCCTTGTGTTGTTGGGGGCGAACGAGCTGGGAACAGAAGTGGGTGAGAGACAAAGCAGGACCTAGGCCACCAGCCTATGAGCCAGAGTAGCCTGGAGGGAGGTGGTGAAAGGGAAACAATACCAAGGCTAGAAAGGTCACCTTTATTACGAAAAAGGAATGCCACACACTGGGTTCTTTTTAAAACAAAGACAAAGCAGATGTCTTAAATAATTTAAAAAGACTGAAGTGGCCCCTGGGCAGTGCTGCAAGCTCACTTATGCCCAGGTGCCCTGGGCAGGGTACATAAATAGGTATTGTGAGCCCAGGGTCTCAGAACTGGAAATTCCTCCTGCTGCTTTTCTTGGGGCTCTGGTGTGGGAAGTAGGGATGGGAGCGGGGTTCCCAAGAGCCTCAACTGTGGGAGTACAGGGGAATGACTGAGGATATGATTGACTTTCTACAGATCCTGCTCTGGGAACGGAGCTCAGTGCTTTCAGAACACCCCAGTGCCTAAGCTTCGGGCTGGAGATGTGGCAGCCAAGGGCCTCACTGTGGAAGGAGCATCTAATCCAGAAGTTTCTTGCCCTGGGGGAGTCGAACTACCATCTATCTCCCCACTTCTCCAAGGTTTCCCAAGCTGGACCCGAGCTGTGGTGACTGATGGGCCCAGCAGTGCTCAGAGCAGGAGAGCAGTGGCCTCAGAGAAGTCTTGTCCTTGCTAGCCATGGCCCAGGGGGCACTGATGAGTCCTGGCTGCTTCTTCCAAGAAGCCCATGGGGCAACACGTACATCCTGGGTTATGAGGGCATATTGGTCAGATATGGCCTGTTTCCTGCAAGACAGAGCTCTCTTTGTTCCCATCTCTGTGCTCAGGGAGTTTTGGAGACTTCATGGATAAAGGGATGCACTGCCAACCCAAAGGTGGGCAATTTGAATCCCCCAGCTGCTCTGACAGAGAAAGATAGACAGTCTCTTCCTGTGCAGTTTCTAGCCTCTGAAAACTGGACCATTGGCTATGAGTTAAAGTCTCAACTTGACAGCAATGAGTTTGGCTGGCTGTACTCAAAGTAGAAGAGGGAACACCATAACCTTCCTCCAAAACAGGGCTAGGAGGAGGTTTTAGTTATTGGGGGGTCTGTCATTCTCAATTAGTGACGGGATGTGTGAGGTTAGCAGCTCTGACTCAGAGCAGGTAGGGAGTTTTGCTTTCTTCCTCCTCTGCCGATCAGCTACATAGGGCTTCCAGAAAAGATTTTTTTTTAAAAAAAAAACACACACACACAAAAACAACATTCCTTCAAATATGCACACATGCAAAGATGCATGGGGAGGAGAAAGAGAAAGGTGCTAGAGGCAGGGCATTACCTGAAGGGCAAGGTCTTCAGTCATGAATGAGACAAGCGGTCAGGTCGCCACTGGATGGAGAAGGGGGAGGGGCTGATGTTACTGGGTGCTGGAGGCTCTGAGTGAGGGTGTCCAGGCAGGACTAGGGACAAAGCTGATCTGGACTTGGTGGGAACAAGACTCATGCAAAGTGTGAGCTGGCTGGACCCTCCATAGGAGGCATTATTCTAACAGGGAACTGCCTGCCCCAAGGTAGGGCCAACCCGGAACCCAGGCCCTGCTCCTAGAATGGGGTCCTGAAGCAGGGAGCAAGAACACATAGCAGCCATGAGGCGTTCCCCACCTATAGGGAAGGCATGGGAGCCACGCAGGGTGTTGGAGGAAGGACAAATCTTTCAGGAGGCAGCTACCTGGGCACAGGGAAGTTCTGGGTGGTGGACAAATGTAGGGTATTATATTTATCTACATGTGCTATCCACATCTAGGGTTTTCATCCCCTCTCATGTTACAGATAAGGAGACTGAGGTTCAGAGAAGGTGAGGAATAAGTTAGTCTCACAGTACATCAGAGCCAGAGCCTTAGCCTCGCTAAGGAGGGCCTGACTCAGGTGACTTTTCACTGGGAAGTGGGGGACAGCAACTCACCTGTCTTCAGCCACAATGGCTTCGTTCAACTTGTGGGACAGCTTTCGGAGGCACTGAAGTCCTGCCCCCACAGGCTCCAGGTCACTGTCAGACTCACTGAGCGGAAGGCAAAGCCACATCAGTGACTAGCTGGGAACCTGTCACAGTGCACCATCCCCCTCCCCCACCGTCCCCAACCTGGCACTGGGCCCAGGGACGACGACTTCACCCCCCGGACCATCAGCTCAGGAGTGGCAGAGTTCTTATGAACACCTGGCCGATAGCACAACCAGAGCGAAGCACATTGCTTTCCTTCATAGACAGGGAAACTGAGGTCCTGAAGGAGTCCCCCAGCAGTGGGGCAGAGCTGGACAGGATGTGGGTGCCCCTTGGCCTTCTTAGTATTATGGGGTCAGGGAAGAGAAATGAGGCACTAGCCAACTTGCCTGGGGGAGCAGAGGGGCTCTGTTGAAGAGTAGGGGCTCCGGAAGGCAGCCTCCCTCCTGGACCGCCGCAGGTGGGGGGCCCGTGGGCCCCTCTGAGCCGAGAGGTTGTGGTGCTTCCTTTCACAGGGGTTCAGGGCTGAGTAGGCAGGGGGCACTCCCAGCAGCCGAGTGCTCCTCCGGCTCAGGCTACGAGGAGGGGGGCTTCCGCCCTTCTGGGCCCCCCTCTTCCTTCTGGCTTTCACGTGGGTTTCCACCAGCCACTTGGTGCCATTTTGACAAGACTCTTGGATCCTCTGTGACAGATGCATGGAAAGGTTAGCTCAGAGGTAATGCCGAGTTACCTCAGATTCCCCATACCATGTTTTTCAGCCCCTAGGCCCACCAGCAGTCCCACCAATGCAGGTTCCTGGGCAAAGGATGGGGAATGACTCCATGTGAAGTGGTTTCATTACAGGGACCAAGATTAGGGTCTCCCAGGAGGAGGAATGGTCAGCCACAGGAAGGTTACTCTGGATCACAAAGCCTTTACCTGTGATGTCCATACTCTTTTGGGGACACAGACCGGCCCAGCGAAGACCGGCTCCCACACCCTGCCAACAGGAGGTAATTTGTCTTTGCGCTTCTGGTCTTACTCTAACCCATCATACACACTGGTCCACAAAGAAACCCTCTGAAGGATAGTTCTAATCATGACACCCAGTTGCTCAAAGCTTTTCTATGGCTCCTGGCTAATTCTCGAGACTGTCATTGAAGGCTTTTCGCACCAGCTGAGTGGGGAGATGTGACAGGTGCAAAGGCTCTTCAGTAGTTAAACTAGTGTTGCCATGGAAACCAGTTCCTAGAAGTTACAGCAAGGCCAGATTTCAATCTGGTAAATGATGTGACCTCAGGTCGGGCAGCTCATTCCATTTCTTTAACCCTTGGGTGTGATGAAAATAACCAGAGAACTTTTCCAAAGAAGGACTTTTGGCAAAGGTTTCAGAAATATCCATCTTCTCCCTCTGTCTCCCAAAAGCATTAGAATTCTCAATCAGGCAAAAGATAAAAGCCCTTGTTGCCCCCATTCTCCATGGGAGGTCTAAGCACATGTTCGCTTGGCCATCTGATGGGTCCCTCATTCCCAATATACAGGACGATTTATAATGCATTTGATCCCACATCCTTTCAGTGTCTCTTCCAAGGAGCTTTAGAAGTTGTTTCCTTCTTTCCTGGTGCAGGCCCCCTGGCCTCCTGAAAGATGAATTTGGCTTGCATCCCTTTGCTATCAGACTGGTTACAGATCATGTTCTAATATGTTAATCTGGCCAAATTTCTACCCTGTTTAAATAATCTTCACATTGTTTTTGGGAAAGTCTAAATACCATTAGCACACTAGATACTGTCCCACCTCTGCCCCTAACTCTTGGTGGCCCCATGCACGGTGAAACAGAAGCCCACTGGATCCTGCAATCTGTCTTTCTTCCTAGTCCATTTTATTCTTGAAGCTCCATTTAAATGTGTTCAGTATCGTAGCAACACAGAAGCCTCGATACATAGATCAGTGCACATGAGCACCGGCTGGGAGCCAAACCCAGGCCTCTAAGAAGGTGAGAGAGAATTCTACCTCTGAATCATCATTCCCTTCAACTTCTCTATCCTCTGGACTTAGCCAGGATGAAATCTCTGCCAGTTTTTTGAGTATCTTGTTCTCCCTCAGCTCTGGAGCTGGACTCGGGCTATTTCCATGGCCTTATTAATTTTCAAAGCCATTGCTATAGAGTCAAACCCAATTCTCCCCATTGGGTGTCTGAGGCTATAATGTTTTTGCATGGGAGGAGACTCATCTTTCTCTTGTGGGGCCACTGGTGGATTCGAACCGCCAGATGGGCAATGCCTTTGTATTAGAAGCACATCTCCTTCCAGTTTATGCCACCAGAGCTCACTTGCCTTAAACACACTTTGGTTGGGCAGTGAGGTTGAGCAGTAGATGTCTCCCCTTCCAGGCAGAAGACCAGGTTTGCTTCCCAGCCAAGGCACCTCACATACAGCCACAGACTGTCAGTGGACGCTTGCCGGTTGCACATATTCAGAGGGGCTTCCAGACTACACAGACAAGGAGAGGTCTGATGGTGCACGGGTGAAAAAAACCCAGCCTGTGAAAACCTATGGATCATACAGGTTTGACTCTATTGCACATGGGGTTGCCTACAGTCGGGAGCATACTTGATGGTACCTAACAGCAGCAACGACCACCCTTCTTTGCTGGGCGAATCTTCCACCTTTTAGTTAGCAACCAAGTGTGTTAACAACCAGTTGCACCACTCAAAGACTCCTAAGACTCAGAACTCCTCACTGTTGCTGTTGAGTTGGAAATGACTCATAGCTGACCCTCCAGTGGATTTTCTAAGGCTGTAAATTGCATGGGAGGAGAATGCCTGTCTTTCTCCCTAGGAGCAGCTGGTGGATTGGAACTGCGTGCCTTTGGGTTGGTAGTGCAAGTCCTTTCCACTAAGCCACCAGAGGTCCCTATAGACTACACCAGGATCTCCTAAAACTCTCCACAAATGGTCAGTGTCATCAGTATTACCTGGGACATGGCACCCAAGGCATTCTTGGCTGAGCGCGCTGCAGCGTGGAGGCCCTGTTGCCCTGGTTCTGGATATTCCAGGCTTTTCCAGGAGGCACCCGCCCCGAGGTTGAGGCTAACCGTTCGGAGGGGCAGCCTCCTCTGGAACTGTCTGCACAGGGAGTCCAGGGTGCTTCCGGAGCTCTCCAGATGGACAGCTGCGGGCTGCCCCACTGGGCTCTCCTCCAGCTGCTTCTGGTCTTGGAGCGATCTGCGGCGCGTGGACATGCCCATGCCTTGCCATCGAGAAGCCATCTGCCTGGCAGAGCCGACGGTGCTGCCCCTAAACCCTGGGGAGAAGGTCAGAGGGCAAAGTTAGCAAGGGAAACCCATCTCCATCTCCTGGGCACAGGGCACAGATGGAGGCCCTGGGAGGATGGGTGGAGAGCACGTGGTAACTCTGGATGTGATGGAGGATGCTTCTTGGAAGAGGGGTCAGCAAATCCTAGAAGGAGGCAGAACTGAAAAAGGATTCTGGTTAGCATTTTCTGCTGTCCTTTCTTGCTAGTTTCCACCGTGCCCTCTGCCTCCGTAGGGCTGAGAACCGGGATCAGGCCTGGTCCTTGCTGAGCCCCGGGCACAATGCAGACACCGATGGCTCCCTTGCCCGAGCCCAGGCTGACCAGATGTCCCCATGGTGGCCAGACACTCACAATACCCGGGAGCCCCCTCCTGCTGGACTGGTTCTAATAGTTGCAATCCGGGCGCAGCTCCCGTGGATCGGAACCCTTCCTGGTCCACCTGCACTCACCAAGCAGCCGGGTGCTGACCAGCCGAGCAGCGTAGCCACTACGCACTGACCCTGGAAAATTTGAAACTCCGCGCGAACCCGCCCGCGGAACCTGTTCTTGCCGCTGATTGGTCTTATGTCTGACTCCGCGGCCGTGCCGGTTATTCCGATTGGCTTCTTCCTCTCGCGGCTATAAATCCTGCTGTGGGATTGGCCCGCCCCCCCCCCATTCATCTTTAAGGGCTCTCTAAGAGGCTTTAGCGCTAGGCGATTCCTCCGCTTTGTTTACAGCGCAGGCACTGTCCCTCCCGGCCCGGCCCCCGCGCCACCTCCTGGACGCTCGGGGCTGTGGCTGCGGGGCTGCGGCTCTTTCTGTTGAGACTGAAATAAGCCTCCAGGATCACCGCCTGGGTCACCGAGAAGACCCAGGGTCCAACGGCCCAAGCCTCTGGACTTTTCAGCGTGAATCTGCCCGCTCACCGCATTGTTGTTGTTATGTGCCATCGAGTCGCTTGCAACTCATAGCGACCCTGTGTACAAGAGGCCTAAATCCTGCTCTATCCTGTGCCAACCTCCCTGTCTCCGACTCACTTACTCCCACCACCCCAATCACTGGATCGATTCATCTGCTCAAAGGTCTTCCCTCTCCTGTCCTTTCACTCTCCCAAACATAATGTCCCTCTCCAAGGACTGGTCCCTTCTTGAAACATGCCCAAAGTATGTTAGAAGCCTCATAATCCTTGACTCTAAGGAGCAGCCTGGCTTCACCCTCTCCAGGACAAACAAACCTGTTTGTTCTCCTAGAAGTCCATGGTATATTCAACACTCTTCTCCAGCACCACAGCTCAAAGGAATCAATTCTCCTATCATCCCTAGTCACTGTCCAGCTCTCTGATATATAGCCCGCAATTGTGAAGACTATAGCCCAGATCAGGCACACCTTAGTCTCCAGCCTGATGTCGTTGCTCTTCAGTACTCTGGTGAGGTCCCTGACATCTGACTTTCCCAGTGTAATGCATCCCTTGATTTCTTGGCTGCTGGTTCCAATAGTGTTGATTGTGGAGTCAAGCAAACTAAAACTGTTAACTATCTCAATCTCTTCACCATCTATACTGATGCTGCCAATTGGCCCAGTGGTATCACCAACCCGCTGAGATCAGAAAGAGCCCAAGCTGTGGAGTCAGGACCCTGGTTTCCTGGGAGATTTGCCCCAGATTTCCCTCATGACTCTCTTCCTTATTGAAACATGGCACTGCCCTTTTCTGGTCTTCTCCAACTTACTACCCACACTCTGTCCCCAAGAAAATACACCCTGTAAGAGAGAGACTCAGCGTCTGTCTCCCTGTTTTCAAGTCAGTCTTGCCTGCCATGGAAAGAGGGAGCCCTGGTGGCATAGTCCATAGGCCTTGAGCTCCTAATCCAAAAGCCATGTCTGTTTGGTGTTCGAACCCACCAGCAGCTCCAAGGGAGAAAGATCGGAAATTTCCTTCTCTGAGATTTAGAGCCTTGGAAAATTCGCTGTAGGATCAGCTATGAGTTCTGACTCAACAGCAATTGGTGGTGTGGAGAAAAAGTACTGGCAACCTGCTTCTGTAAAGATTACCACCAAGAACATTCTATAGAAAGCTTCTACTCTAACACATTGACCATCATGAGTTGGAATCAAGTAGAAAGCAGTTTATTCCCCATACCTGCCTGTCGGTCTGTTGTGCTTTGACAGCGAGCATGCTGGAAGTCACCAATAATTCAAGTTCCCACAGGGTCACCGGGGATTGACAGTTTTCAGTGGGGCTTTTGGACAAAGACAGAGACTAGAAAGAAAGACTGACATACAAATGACTGACATACAATAATGTATCAGTTACAAATAACGACTGGCATACAAAAATCAGCAAATGAAAACCTTATGGATCACAAAAGCATGTTGTCTTTAGTTTGGCAGACACTCAATGTACTCAGTGGACATAGCAACCATGGAGAAGAGGATGAGGGACCCAGCAGTTAGAGTCTGTTTTATGTGGTCACCATAAGTGCCTCTGGAAACTCTATGAACTGTGATAAGTGAAGATGGTTTATAGAAAAGCTTCAAGGCCTTTTGTTCATAGGGTCGCTATGAGTCGTGCTCGACTCGACGGCAATTAACAACAACAACAACAAACAAAACATAATATTAAACTATAAAGAATCACATATTTCTGAATCTATCTTTGCATCTATCCATCCACGTGCCCACCCATCCATCCATCCGTCCGTCCACCCACCCATGTGTGTATGAACCTACCTACCTACCCACCCATATACCACTGTCATCAGCTGGTTTCAACTCATACTACGAAGTTTATAACCTTGGAGACCAAATGAAGGCTCCATTGGATTGTAAATCTTTATTGAAGGGTGCTGTTCATCTTTCTCCTGAGAAAACACTGGTAGATTTGAACTGCTGATCTTTCAGTTAGCAGTCCAATACATTACATGTTATGCCACCAGTGCCCTTTTGAAAGTTAGTAGTCAACTTAATTAGAAAACAGAAGTACAGAGGAGTTAGATGGGATTAAAATATCCCTAGCTAGTAAAAAGGAGCCCTGGCGGTACAGTTGTTAAATGCTCAGATGCAACCAACACATTAGTGGTTCGACTTGATACAGTGGGTCGTGGGGAAGCACCTGATAATTGGCTCCTATAAAATTTCAACCTAGAGAAAGCTATTGGGGAAGCTCTTCTCTGTCATATGAAGTCACTACAAGTAGATAAATCAGCCCAAGTTCACCTAACAACAACAACAACATGTAGCAGAGTCAAGCATCCAAATATAGGCAACCTGGGACCAAGGTCTCTGTACTTACCCATTGGACACACTGCCTCCCTCAGTGCCTTGCACCCACCCCCACCCCTTCAGTCTGGACCTCTCCCCACAGGTCTGTCCAGCTACCTCCTGACCCGTTGCTGTCTGGATTCTGAAGACACCTTAAACCAGCATGCCTACCTTCACCCCTGGCCTCTCTCAACCCTCCTCTGTGGTCCCTTTCCAATGTCTTTTCAAATAATAGCTACTGGGTGCTTGTGATGTGTTCAACAATGTTCTAAGTCTGAAGATAAAAATCCCTCAATTAACCGAGTGAAATTCTTACCCTCATAGAACTAAAAAGTCTGTTTTGTAATCAATCAAGTAACATATAATGTAATTGATCAAAGAATCTCATAAAAGTGAGTTCATTTCAAACTGAGACTAGAGCATGATGAGTAGGAACCATCCAGGTGAAGTGTGTGTGTGTGTGTGTGTGTTAGAGAATGCTGGGAGTGGGGGGAGTTTCCTGGTGAAGGAACAATATGTTCAAGGGCCCTCCTGTAAGAAACTCGTACACGTAGGTACAATTACAATAAACATTTCATGAAACAATACCATGTGTGATGTGTTCTGACATTTTATTATAAAAATGATGATATTCTTAATATCACAGAATAATTTTATAATTATA